CCCCCCTGCCCCGGGCAGGGCCCCCTTCCCCCAGCCCAGGGGGCTCCCAGCCCCGTCCAACCTGGCCTTGAACCCTTCCAGGGAGGGGGCAGCCACAGCTGCTCTGGGCAACTTGTGCCAGCGCCTCACTGCCCTCACAGTAAAGAATTTCTTCCTTACATCTAATCGAAATCTACCCCCTTTCAGTTTAAAACTGTTGCTCCTTGTCCTCTTGCAACAGACCCTATTAAAATGTCTCTCTGCATCTTTCTTATAAGCCCCCTTTAAGTACTGAAAGGCGGCAATAAGGTCTCCCCAAGAGCTTTCCCTTCTCCAGGCTGAACCACCCCAAACCTTTCATCATGGGAAAGGTGTTTAATCCCTCTGATTATTTCTGTGGCCTCCTCTGGCCCTGCTCAAGCAGGTCAGTGTCCTTCTGATGTCAGGGGCCCCAGGCTGGCCCCAGCACTGCAGGGGGGTCTCCCCAGAGCGCAGCAGAGGGGGAGAATCCCCTCCCTGGCCCTGCTGCCCCCCCTGCTCTGGCTGCAGCCCAGAACACGGGTGGCTTTCTGGGCTGCGAGCAGACATTGCCGGGTCATGTCCAGCTTTTCATCCACCAGTACTCCCAAGTCCTTCTCTGTGGGGCTGCTCTCAATCCACTCATCCCCCAGCCTGTATTGTTACTGGGGATTGCCCTGACCCATGTGCAGGACCTTGCATTTGGCCTTGTTGATCTCCAAGAGGTTCACATGGGCCCACTTCTTAAGCTTGTCCAGGTCCCTCTGGAAGGCATGCCTTCCCTCAGGTGAGGCAACTGCACCACTCAGTTTGGTGTCATTCACTAATTTGATGAGGGTGCACTCAATCCCACTGTCTATGTCATTGGTGAAGACATGAAATAGTACTGGTCCCAGTACAAACCCTTTAGGGACACCACTCCTTACTGGTTTCCCCCTGGACATTGAGCCATTGACCATAACTCTTAACTCAACTCTTTTGTTAACCCTTTCCCTCTGCATGAAGAGCAGTCAAAGCTACTGGGGGCGGGACAGAACACGGGGAGCCCCAACATTCCTTGCCAGGCAACACTCAAACAGAATCCACAGGACAGAAGTGACCATGGCACTGCCAGCTCTGCAGCACACACTGTGCGGCCCTGGGGCTCCTCCGATGGCCCAGCTACTGCAGCCATTCCTCTTCCCCAAAACCTTCTACACCAGAGGTGAGGACTAACCCTGACCCCGACAGCCCCGGGACTCGCTCTGGGGAAATTCAGAGCCCTTTCTCCGTTGCGCCTCTCCCTTCTCCTTCTCAGTCCCCTCATGCGCCCTCCTGTCCCGGCTTGGGATGTGATCACCAGTGAGTGCTCATGTCTCTCTGTCAGGATCAACCTGCCCAGTAAATATAATTTATAGATAATTCCCCAATCTCTTGGAGCCATCTCTCCCATTTCACCACCACATGGACAATCGTCCCTGCCACAAGCTCCCCACTCACCCGGCACAGAGCAGGGGGATGTCTGTGCTCAGGGCTGGCTCAGGGGGTGCCCCAGGAGATTCCTCCAGGTCCTCACCCCTGCACATCTCCCTCTCACCTCTGCAGGTCTGCAGATGGCTCCAAGCAGCAGCTGCTTCAACCCCCATGTCTCCCACTCGGAGTGGACGAGCACCAACCTGCCTCCAGCTGCCACCTTTGTCACCGGCCACAGCGTTGCTTCCCGGCCAGGCGCTGCCCTGTGGGGACCCCCGGGCTGCGGCTCCCCCCGGCCTGGGCAGAGCAATGGGCCCCCCAGAGCCAAGCTGAGCTGTCCTGCCCCACAACTGTCAGGGCAGAGCAGCGGCCTCAGCCCGTCCAGTGCTGCCACCGTCCCTCCGCAGCCACCACCACGTCGAGGGACAGTACACGCACCATGGCCTGTCCAGCAGAGCCAACCGCTGGCGGCACCCCCAGGCAGTGGCAGCCACCCAGGCAACAATATCCCCATGGTTAAGGACATCCTCCCAGGTGTTGACATCTCCCTGGCGAGTGATGTCCCCATGGATGAGGACATCCTCCCAGGTGTTGACATCTCCCTGGCGAGTGATGTCCCCATGGATGAGGACATCCTCCCAGGATGTGACATCTCCCTGGCGAGTGATGTCCCCATGGATGAGGACATCCTCCCAGGTGTTGACATCTCCCTGGCGAGTGATGTCCCCATGGATGAGGACATCCTCCCAGGATGTGACATCTCCCTGGCGAGTGATGTCCCCATGGATGAGGACATCCTCCCAGGATGTGACATCTCCCTGGCGAGTGATGTCCCCATGGATGAGGGCACCCCCCTGGGTGGTAACATCTCCCCCAGCCACTCTGCTGCCCTCCACGTCCAAGCCATCAGGGACCCCGGGGTGATTCCAGCCGGTGACGTTGTGCTGCCTGAGGTGGTGCTGCTGGAAGAGGCTATGAGGCACTTGGATTGCTCCCTGGGGGCAAGGGGGGGATCAGCCGGGACGATTCCAGCAGCGTCCCCGTGCCCGTGGACACCGGTGGCACTAGTGGCTCCATCCCCCAGCGCAGGATCAGCTCGCTGTGGCTGCCCGAGAAGATGCTCCCCAATGACTCGTGTCCCCAAGGCCTCCAAAGCCACCCTGAGCAGGGAGCACTTAACTCCCATCAGGATGAGGGCTGAGGATCCACGGCAGGACGTGGGGACAGACCTGCCACCCCCTCAGGGCAGTGTGTCCCGGCACGACACCAGCCGGGAGAAGCGAGGGGAGAAGTGAGGGGAGAAGCGAGCGGAGAAGCGAGCGGGAGAAGCGAGCGGAGAAGCGAGGGGAGAAGCGAGCGGGAGAAGCGAGGGGAGAAGCGAGCGGAGAAGCGAGCGGAGAAGCGAGCGGAGAAGCGGGAGAAGCGGCAAAATGGCTCCCGGCCAGAAAATGGCGGCAAGCGCAAGGCCCCTGCAGCCAGTGCTGGGGCGGGGGGTGGGACTGGGCCTGTTGCGGGGAACGGGTGGGTTTGGGGAGGGGGGAGGGTGTGTTGACGATGTAGTAGCTTTGGTAGTGCGTGTTTTGTTCTCAGTTTTTCCATTAAAAGCCATTTATCCAGAACCTGTCCGTGCCTCACTGACGTCCTCCAGGCAGGTGACATCCGTAGCTCTTCCCTCGTCCTCTAATGCCGTCACTCCATCATGGAAGGCCGCTGGATTAGTCGGGCACGATTTGCCCTCGGCGAAGCCACGCTGGCTGTCTCTAAAGCGGCTGCTGAGCTGTTGTCATTCCATTTTCTAGCTCTGCAGTCACCAGTTGTGAGGCATTCATGACTCTCGGCCGCTATGAATTTACAAACTGGCAAAAATGAGCTCTCTAAAGTAGAAACATCCTTCCCAGTAAACTGCCCTGGCATTTTATCGGAATCTGTTTTAGTTTTCCTGCTCTGTGCTGAAATCCTGTAAATTCTTCACCATTGCTTCTGCCACTGTTAGTGCTACTGGTCCCCAGAAATGTTCCAGCTCCCTCTTGCCTGAAATCGCTTTTGAATTCACTCCCTGCTGTAACATCGCAAACCGATTTGCCGCACACTCTATCTCCTACAACATTTCTTAAGTAAGCACCTTACAACTGGCCTTTTTTGACATGCCAAGCTAATAGCTACTGTTTCATTTTGCATTTCTCATAGTACCAGGGAATGTGAAATACTATTTTTAATATATTGCTGCCTATCCTCACTTTCTGCATTAGTTTCACAGATTTTCAGTATACTTCTTTCACTATTTCTTTTCGTCACCAGATTTTCTGCAGAATAGCCCTCTGCCAAAGTTTGTTGCCTTACAGTGATTTTTGTCTTTGCCCTTTGCTACATAGAAGCCAGCACAAATAAGGGAAAAACTGACTATACAAGAGAGTGTGAAAATACCTTACGTCTAAATGACAAAACTAAGATCTTCATAAAGATTAATTAATAAATAAATATACCTATACACACTTCCCCCCCACCCCCCCCCCGACACATACACCTATAAACACGCCCCCGCGACGGGTCACGCGCACCTCGACACCCACACCTGCCCCTACAGACACCCATGAGGACCGGCACCCCCCGGCCTCCCGCCCCGCTCTGCCCCTCGGGCCCGCTCCCCTCACACCAGCGCCGGGGAGCGGGGGAGTGTCACTGAGGGAGGAAAGTCTCACCTCGCCGGTTCGTGGGGCGGACGCGCACCGCCACCTTCACTTTGGAGTCCCCCATCGCGCTGCTCCAACCTCCTCCCCGGCTCCTTCGTCCCTCCTCGGCTTCCGTTTACGGAGGGACAACCGGCGGGGCGGGGAGGAGGGCGGAGCGGGGCGGGAGGGGGTGTCAAACCGGGGGGAGGGGGGGGGCGGAGGAAGGGAGGCACCGTGTGTGACCGACGTCCGGCTGGACTACAGATCCCAGCGTGCAGCGCCGCCCACCCCGCCGCTCCGGGGAGGCGGGCAGCGAGGCGCGATGCCCGCTGGGAGTTGTAGTCCTTTCCGCGCCCGTCTCCTGGCGGGACAGCATTGCATGCTGGGATATGTGGTCCGCTAGCATAGACGAGTTTCGTGAGGGGGCGAGCCCCAAATGGCGTTTGTGGGTTGTGTCGCGCTGACAGAGAAGGGGGGTCTCAGGCTCACCCCAGGTCCTGCCACACATCACCAGAGTGGCTGTGGGCCAGCCCTGTCCCACCTCAGTCTGTGCTGCCTGTGCCTCGGGCCCTTTTTGAGGGAATACTGCCATACTTCGCAGCATCGCCGCTGCGACCCAAAACCTCACCTCGCCGCAAGATGTTCTCTGGGAGTCACAAAGCAAGGCGGCATTGCTCTGCTGGTCCGTGGGGTTTCTGTCCGTTAGAAATCACGTCACGCCGAGGATCACGAACCGTAACCCAACGTAAAGACCGTGGGGTTAGATGATGGCTGGGTCTGGCTTCGCAGAGCAACCTCTGATACGCCGCCGTCAACACACTTTGCAGTTTGCTTAATGAAGGCGGTTCATTAATAGAGCTCAACAGTAATAATCGGAGACAGTTGGAACAATATTACAATTTATTCCCATTAGACGGCTCGGCTGCTCAACCGCAGCTACTGATCTCAGAGACCGAGAATGAAACTATAATGCGAAGATGCAAAAAAAGAAATCTCATTTAAATGGTCATTTAAAAGCCCTTGCAGCTGCTATTTTAGATCAAAACAAAGATTCTCTCTGTGTTATTTTGAAAGGCCAGATTTCAGCAAGGACGGGGGGAAAAAAAAAAGAAAACAAAACAGCAAACCAACCAATTCAGAATTGTAATCCTTTGGGCCTTCAACATCGAATGAGATTTTATGGCATAAATAAATAAAGAACACATTTCCAAGTGGTTTTGAGATAAGATCTTAGAAGGTAGCTCTTCTTGCCCAGAAGAATTGCACTCAATATCTATCATTTCATGCCTGCTTGACCTGAGGAATATCTTGTCAAGGCAGAGAGAAAACAAATATTAAATTGGTATTTAAGTAACACTGGGATTAAAGTCCATGTTCTTAAGAGCATCCCAAGTGAGCATGAGAGTTAAGAAGATGTCTTAGAGTTAAAAAAAAAAAAAAAAGAAAGAAAAAATAACAGCAGGTCAGATCAAACAGGGTGGCAAAAGCTTTAAACAACATTTTTTTGTGCATAGCAGCAGAAAGTAGCAGCTCCTGGGTATGCCACGCTTGCAGCTCAGCCCCACAGCCCCGTGTTGTGGTGGGGTTCTTGTTGGAAGAGGGGAGGACCTGCTGTCAGCCCGCACAGTTGGTTCTTGCACTTGTGGACTTGAGGATCCAATTACAGGATGAAACCGGGCTTTGAACTTCTTGTGGTATTTTCCAGCCGGGGCCTCAGCAAACCGCACCAACGTCTTCTGAAACCGAGTACTTTGCAATGGAGGTAAATATAATCCCCGCTTTACAGCTGGGCATGATGAGCCGCAAGTGGAGGGTGATGTTTTTTCTGTTGAGTCACCTGGAATACGATTTAAATAAGTGGGATGAAACCTGCCAGATGTGCATACTGCTGGGGATAGCAGGTGTCACCCAAATCCAGCCCTTCCTCCTGCATCTTCTCCTCTGATATTAGTTATCATTGGTCTCTCTGTTATATGTAAAATTAAATAGTAAATCTTGTGGGGAAAGGATTGCAGACCAGCTTTTCATTTGATAGAAAGAGGGGCCAGCATGTTTTAAGTGCCATATACATGGACAATAACAAGTGAAAGCATCCAATTCTTGCAAGCTTTGCTTCAGTTTTCTACTTGGGATGAAGAATTTATTTTAAAATCTGAAAACTCACCCTTTCAACCTTTCTTCCATTCTAATTGCCAAAGAGAAACCAGATTCGCACGTGATCGTTGCTACGTTCTGCAAACTTCTCTGAAGACGGAGACATCCTCGGAGGCCAAAGAACCATCCTCAGCTTCAACGTCGGGTTTTATCGGGGCTCTGGGAAGGCGATGACTTCTCATGGCTCTGCAGTCTTGCCTCTGGACATTTCCTTTATGCGAGCCCCTGCCTCCTGCAATGAATTACAGTAATGCAACTTATCTTGCACCGGGCACAAGCTACCTCAGTGTAATTACCCCACTGTGAATTCCTCGGCAAGCCCTTTCCCTGGCTCAGAGTTTCACAATCTGTGGGAAGCATCTCCCTGGAGGGGCACAGCTTGGAGGGAGGATATTGTTTCCATTCACAGCACTGGAACATGCTAATTATTCTGGGAGGAAAGGGGGGGTGGGGTGGGGGGTGGCAGCTTTCACTTGGGAGGGACAGGCTGGGCAAATAGTTTGTGAAACGCCAACTTAACCCCATCTTGTAGGGCATTGTCTGCAGCTCTTTTCCCCCTTCCTAGTTACTGTAATGAGGGCCTGACTTCCCAGATTAGCTCTGGCTATTTAAATGCTAATTTAATTAACAAAACATCCGGGGGGGGGGGGGGGGGGGGGGGGGGAAGCATTACTTGTCCCTCCCATTCATTTATCGAATTTCTGAATGCAACACTATTTTCATCAGGTTGAGGAGCTACAGTTATTGCTACACCCACCTGGTCATAGCAGGGATTAAAGCAGTGATGTGGAGGAGAGAAAAAGAGGGCCTCCGTCTCATTTTTTTATAAGCAACTGAATTTCATTGGTTTTGTTTAGAAGTAACCAAGTCAAAACAGTTTAATGTGTCCCACATAACTGGGATGGCTGGGGTGTGTGTATCACCAGGACCCAAGGGAAGAAGATGGCTTTTGTTTTTGTTTAGGTGAAGGTATGAATGGTTTGGATCTCGGATCTTCTAGATAGAACTGTATCTCAGGGCAAGCCAGAAAACATGACAGTCTTTTGGAAGTCTTCTTCCAGTCCATAACAAGTAACAAATCAATTGTATTTTAAATATTTTTTTTCATTTGTTAGACTGCGTATCAAAAGAGACGCATCAATTATGAATTTGCAGTAGACCTACTTTCTGCCCATAAATCATTCAGGTGTTGGAAAACTAAAACAGAGGATCTTACTAGTGTTTAGTTAGTTGTATGCAAACTCTTAAGGGGTCCACTTCTGCAAGAAGCTGAGCACCAACTGGGACAGTCCCAGTCAGAGACTGGGAGGCATTCAGGGCAGCCAGCAGCACTTTAGCATCTTCAGTGATCAGGTTCTCAGCACAAAAATATTTTGCGAAACAGTTTAAAAACAAGACCTGTTGCTGTTTTGCATTTTTCATAGATTGTTGTTTTGGCCAGTCCCAGGAGTAAAGAGTTTTATTCTGGTACGATAAGTTTGCCTTCAGGTTTATCTTGCTTTTCAGTCTGGAGATACAAATATATAAATGTAGTAGAAATTTATAGGTACGTAGAAGCGAAAACAGAAGATAGATTTGTTATAAATTTCTTTCAACTATAATCAAGAAAGCAAGCACCAAGGGAAATTGGTATTAAGAACAGGTCAAGAAATCTGGATAAAAGAGAAATTCAATTTATCCAAATCAGTTGTCAAAACTCTGCTTGATATCAAAATGTTGTCTGCTTTTTGTTTTTTGTTGTTTGTTTGTTTTTTTTTTTTTTTTTTAAAAGGAATTGCTGAAATTTCTCAGCCAACACTTTGCGCAAATGTACAGGTTTGGGAGACTCACATTCATTTTAGCAAGGCACTTTCTGTGCTCCATTATTTTAATAGGAACTTCCTATAATCAAAGGATTGATTGTTCCCTGGGTCATTCGTGACTCTGAATTTCACTGATCCTGGCATGAACTTTTGAAGGTATTTGAGTGTGGCCTCCTAGTCTCAGTGTGAAAAGTATTCACGGCCAAATAAATGAACTCTCGAAGTCTTCTTGCGGCACTAGATTATAACAGATTAAAACCCGAACCACACTTTTTATAGACAGCCCCCTCTTTTTAAAAGTTATTCCAGAGTTCAAAGTCCTGGTCATAAATCTCATGGCATTATAGGACATGTATTACCCAGAGGAAAGCACAAATCAATAGCCAGACCCCGATGTCTCCATAAACCCCATATGTGCCCTGTTTATAGCAGTGAAATTTCTTACACTTTGGCTGGGGTGCTTCTCCCATACAGTGGGATTTCAGTACAAATTCATACTTCTGGCAGCAACGCAAGGCCAGGCAATATTAGCAAATTTTGTGCTGGTAGGATGAGGTTCCTGATGAGTATTTTCTCATTGACTAAAAATTTCTATTATTCTTATCAGCTGTTCAGTTTGCTGATACAGAGTGTTTCAGAGCAACTGGTTTTACCAGCCGTGTTACATTTTCTTTGAGAGGTTCTTTCCTCAGGTAAAGACTCCACACTGGATTTCCTTTGTTTGAAAGGAAAATAGATTTTCTGTCTTTGGAGAAAATGGAGAATCTCTGAAGAACTTGAAAAATACAAAATTAGCGGGAGAGCGTTTCTAGCAGTTGTAAGACAAGTTTGTAGTTCTATAAAAGCAAAAATCCCAACACAATGGCAATTACGGGTACTCTGATGAACGCATATTTACCGAGCTGTGTAATGTTTCCCGCGTTTATCTCCTAGTACTTCTGAGATACATGAATGGTCAGGGCTGAACTGCCTTGACTTCAAAGGTTGGAATATTTTACAGCTTCATCTGCTGAATCATGTTGGTTTTGCTCCACTTCTGCAGAGGCGCCGCCTGCAAAAGCCACATTTTTTTGCTTTTCTGCCCATCCACACCTTGTCTCTTCTTCACCTTCCCTCTTCCCCAGAAGCTGTACAGCTTCAGAGCATGTCCTGGTAATCCAGACACCGACAGACACTGGCCAAGATCCTAATCCAAACCCAGATCTAAATTATCCAGCTGCATTTACACTAATAATAATAATAATAATAATAATAAAAAAACCCTAATGTGTTTTGCCTATGTTTAGCAAATAACACCGCAGGCTAAATTGCCAGCTCCAGATACCCCCAGATTTAACGAGTTGGTAATTTGATGTTGAAACTTGGGAAATTTTGATAAATGGGGATGCTGCTGTCAGTGCCGGGAGCTGTAGAATTTATGGATGAAATGGGATTTTATCAGCGACGACCAAAAATTCCTTTCTGACTCTATAGGCAAGAGTGACGCCCGGTGGCTACGGAGCAAAATAAAATCAGGTCTAATTGTAATGGTCCCCTTTCCTGTCCTTCCTTATTTATTGATTTTCCCCTGCTGCTTTTAAGGAAAGAGCTGGGGACAAGCAAGGACTTCTACCCGCCCTCGCAGCATGAGCACCCATTGCCTGGTGGCACCCATTCCCCTGGACCAGCTCCTTTGGGGTGAAAGTGGGAGAGCAAAGGGGTGCTGGCAACTCTCCCATGGCTCCTAAAATGCTGCAGCCAAGCATGGAGACACAGATGTGGTCCTGGCACCCTGAATTTGGGCAGAGGATTTCCACTGATCTTGCCACAACCCTTATGTGGCCCTTCCCAGGGTTTGTCTACGCTCAGGGCTTGCGCTCGTTAGGACACGAGATGGGATTTCTTTTATCCATATTTCAGCTAAAATGGCAGCAAACTCATTAGCACGGGTTATCAGAGAGAAGTAAATACCGGGGGCCTCCTTTTTGCTTTGTGCCTACTACGTAGTGCTTATCATACAGTAAAGATTATGTGACAAAAAGAATGAAACAGCATTTTGACTACTACTGTCTACGTAACCCTAAACCCTAATACCTTCAGCTAAGCGGTTATTGATGGGTATTATGAATGGTTAACTACCTGAAGGAAAGTGTTCAAAAAAAAAAAAAAAGGAGTAATCTTTGCCGAAGGGCTAAAAATGTACTTTATTTGGACTTTAATTTGGACTTACTAGAAATGAAAATGGAAATGCCCAGGTAATTACCTCACTCACTGAGCTGTGGCTTTAATAAATGTCAAGTGTTGGGAGTGTACTGCTAAAAGCTGGTGTCATGGGCCTCTGCTGGAAACGTGCCCATTGAACAAACAAACCAGTTTGGCTCCTAAATCAAAAGTCCCCGTGGTATTTCTGTATGGGTGAGCATTGACATTAGATGTTCCCTAAGGTACCTATCCATATCTCAATGTGTTATAAAGAGGGAACTCAAGCTGAGGTCTGGGTCTGCTTACTGGGAAAATGAAGCCCAGCTCTGATACTTAGACCTTGCTTCTGTCTCTGCTTCCAGACCTCCACTTCACTGGTGTACATGATACCTGGATTTAGGAGCTCACTGGTGCGGTTTCCAATTGAAAACATGGAGCGGGGAAGGATTGTTGAAGGGACAGATTGAGGTACTCTGGTCCTTCACTCATGGATGCCTGCAAAACTAAGAAAACACAAAAATATTTTCTCTTAAAATTTGGGAATACCTCTCCCGATTGCGAATAACTGGGATGGGAAGGAGCATCGGGTTTGTGCCGGTAAGTTTTCTGAGTTTTCAGAAAGGCAAAGAACCACGTTATTACGAGTGAAGAGCATGAAGGAGAGCTTGTTGCACAGCACAAGGCCATCGCAACCAGAGAAGCAAGGAGCAGTGTGTAGCTGCCAGAAATACCAAGCCACCTCTTCCAACACCCCTCAGCTCAAAGGCCCATCTCTTTGCAGAGACATCCTCTTGCCCAGAGCTGCATTGTACAGCATACGGCCTCCCGCTTGCCTTGAGGAGATGTCTCTTAAGAGGCTCTTCCACAGTCAGCTTCACAGCCACACTGTTGCTCCTAATATTCATCACATGCGGGATCAAAAAATTACGTCTGCAGAAAGTTGCTCCAGAACAAAAATGTCATTCAATCATAGAGTGGTTTGGGTTGGAAGGGACCTCAGAGATCACCCAGTCCCAACCCCCCTGCCCCGGGCAGGGCCCCCTTCCCCCAGCCCAGGGGGCTCCCAGCCCCGTCCAACCTGGCCTTGAACCCTTCCAGGGAGGGGGCAGCCACAGCTGCTCTGGGCAACTTGTGCCAGCGCCTCACTGCCCTCACAGTAAAGAATTTCTTCCTTACATCTAATCGAAATCTACCCCCTTTCAGTTTAAAACTGTTGCTCCTTGTCCTCTTGCAACAGACCCTATTAAAATGTCTCTCTGCATCTTTCTTATAAGCCCCCTTTAAGTACTGAAAGGCGGCAATAAGGTCTCCCCAAGAGCTTTCCCTTCTCCAGGCTGAACCACCCCAAACCTTTCATCATGGGAAAGGTGTTTAATCCCTCTGATTATTTCTGTGGCCTCCTCTGGCCCTGCTCAAGCAGGTCAGTGTCCTTCTGATGTCAGGGGCCCCAGGCTGGCCCCAGCACTGCAGGGGGGTCTCCCCAGAGCGCAGCAGAGGGGGAGAATCCCCTCCCTGGCCCTGCTGCCCCCCCTGCTCTGGCTGCAGCCCAGAACACGGGTGGCTTTCTGGGCTGCGAGCAGACATTGCCGGGTCATGTCCAGCTTTTCATCCACCAGTACTCCCAAGTCCTTCTCTGTGGGGCTGCTCTCAATCCACTCATCCCCCAGCCTGTATTGTTACTGGGGATTGCCCTGACCCATGTGCAGGACCTTGCATTTGGCCTTGTTGATCTCCAAGAGGTTCACATGGGCCCACTTCTTAAGCTTGTCCAGGTCCCTCTGGAAGGCATGCCTTCCCTCAGGTGAGGCAACTGCACCACTCAGTTTGGTGTCATTCACTAATTTGATGAGGGTGCACTCAATCCCACTGTCTATGTCATTGGTGAAGACATGAAATAGTACTGGTCCCAGTACAAACCCTTTAGGGACACCACTCCTTACTGGTTTCCCCCTGGACATTGAGCCATTGACCATAACTCTTAACTCAACTCTTTTGTTAACCCTTTCCCTCTGCATGAAGAGCAGTCAAAGCTACTGGGGGCGGGACAGAACACGGGGAGCCCCAACATTCCTTGCCAGGCAACACTCAAACAGAATCCACAGGACAGAAGTGACCATGGCACTGCCAGCTCTGCAGCACACACTGTGCGGCCCTGGGGCTCCTCCGATGGCCCAGCTACTGCAGCCATTCCTCTTCCCCAAAACCTTCTACACCAGAGGTGAGGACTAACCCTGACCCCGACAGCCCCGGGACTCGCTCTGGGGAAATTCAGAGCCCTTTCTCCGTTGCGCCTCTCCCTTCTCCTTCTCAGTCCCCTCATGCGCCCTCCTGTCCCGGCTTGGGATGTGATCACCAGTGAGTGCTCATGTCTCTCTGTCAGGATCAACCTGCCCAGTAAATATAATTTATAGATAATTCCCCAATCTCTTGGAGCCATCTCTCCCATTTCACCACCACATGGACAATCGTCCCTGCCACAAGCTCCCCACTCACCCGGCACAGAGCAGGGGGATGTCTGTGCTCAGGGCTGGCTCAGGGGGTGCCCCAGGAGATTCCTCCAGGTCCTCACCCCTGCACATCTCCCTCTCACCTCTGCAGGTCTGCAGATGGCTCCAAGCAGCAGCTGCTTCAACCCCCATGTCTCCCACTCGGAGTGGACGAGCACCAACCTGCCTCCAGCTGCCACCTTTGTCACCGGCCACAGCGTTGCTTCCCGGCCAGGCGCTGCCCTGTGGGGACCCCCGGGCTGCGGCTCCCCCCGGCCTGGGCAGAGCAATGGGCCCCCCAGAGCCAAGCTGAGCTGTCCTGCCCCACAACTGTCAGGGCAGAGCAGCGGCCTCAGCCCGTCCAGTGCTGCCACCGTCCCTCCGCAGCCACCACCACGTCGAGGGACAGTACACGCACCATGGCCTGTCCAGCAGAGCCAACCGCTGGCGGCACCCCCAGGCAGTGGCAGCCACCCAGGCAACAATATCCCCATGGTTAAGGACATCCTCCCAGGTGTTGACATCTCCCTGGCGAGTGATGTCCCCATGGATGAGGACATCCTCCCAGGTGTTGACATCTCCCTGGCGAGTGATGTCCCCATGGATGAGGACATCCTCCCAGGATGTGACATCTCCCTGGCGAGTGATGTCCCCATGGATGAGGACATCCTCCCAGGTGTTGACATCTCCCTGGCGAGTGATGTCCCCATGGATGAGGACATCCTCCCAGGATGTGACATCTCCCTGGCGAGTGATGTCCCCATGGATGAGGACATCCTCCCAGGATGTGACATCTCCCTGGCGAGTGATGTCCCCATGGATGAGGGCACCCCCCTGGGTGGTAACATCTCCCCCAGCCACTCTGCTGCCCTCCACGTCCAAGCCATCAGGGACCCCGGGGTGATTCCAGCCGGTGACGTTGTGCTGCCTGAGGTGGTGCTGCTGGAAGAGGCTATGAGGCACTTGGATTGCTCCCTGGGGGCAAGGGGGGGATCAGCCGGGACGATTCCAGCAGCGTCCCCGTGCCCGTGGACACCGGTGGCACTAGTGGCTCCATCCCCCAGCGCAGGATCAGCTCGCTGTGGCTGCCCGAGAAGATGCTCCCCAATGACTCGTGTCCCCAAGGCCTCCAAAGCCACCCTGAGCAGGGAGCACTTAACTCCCATCAGGATGAGGGCTGAGGATCCACGGCAGGACGTGGGGACAGACCTGCCACCCCCTCAGGGCAGTGTGTCCCGGCACGACACCAGCCGGGAGAAGCGAGCGGAGAAGCGAGAGGAGAAGCGAGGGGAGAAGCGAGCGGAGAAGCGAGCGGAGAAGCGAGGGGAGAAGCGAGCGGAGAAGCGAGGGAGAAGCGAGCGGAGAAGCGAGCGGAGAAGCGAGCGGAGAAGCGGCAAAATGGCTCCCGGCCAGAAAATGGCGGCAAGCGCAAGGCCCCTGCAGCCAGTGCTGGGGCGGGGGGTGGGACTGGGCCTGTTGCGGGGAACGGGTGGGTTTGGGGAGGGGGGAGGGTGTGTTGACGATGTAGTAGCTTTGGTAGTGCGTGTTTTGTTCTCAGTTTTTCCATTAAAAGCCATTTATCCAGAACCTGTCCGTGCCTCACTGACGTCCTCCAGGCAGGTGACATCCGTAGCTCTTCCCTCGTCCTCTAATGCCGTCACTCCATCATGGAAGGCCGCTGGATTAGTCGGGCACGATTTGCCCTCGGCGAAGCCACGCTGGCTGTCTCTAAAGCGGCTGCTGAGCTGTTGTCATTCCATTTTCTAGCTCTGCAGTCACCAGTTGTGAGGCATTCATGACTCTCGGCCGCTATGAATTTACAAACTGGCAAAAATGAGCTCTCTAAAGTAGAAACATCCTTCCCAGTAAACTGCCCTGGCATTTTATCGGAATCTGTTTTAGTTTTCCTGCTCTGTGCTGAAATCCTGTAAATTCTTCACCATTGCTTCTGCCACTGTTAGTGCTACTGGTCCCCAGAAATGTTCCAGCTCCCTCTTGCCTGAAATCGCTTTTGAATTCACTCCCTGCTGTAACATCGCAAACCGATTTGCCGCACACTCTATCTCCTACAACATTTCTTAAGTAAGCACCTTACAACTGGCCTTTTTTGACATGCCAAGCTAATAGCTACTGTTTCATTTTGCATTTCTCATAGTACCAGGGAATGTGAAATACTATTTTTAATATATTGCTGCCTATCCTCACTTTCTGCATTAGTTTCACAGATTTTCAGTATACTTCTTTCACTATTTCTTTTCGTCACCAGATTTTCTGCAGAATAGCCCTCTGCCAAAGTTTGTTGCCTTACAGTGATTTTTGTCTTTGCCCTTTGCTACATAGAAGCCAGCACAAATAAGGGAAAAACTGACTATACAAGAGAGTGTGAAAATACCTTACGTCTAAATGACAAAACTAAGATCTTCATAAAGATTAATTAATAAATAAATATACCTATACACACTTCCCCCCCACCCCCCCCCCGACACATACACCTATAAACACGCCCCCGCGACGGGTCACGCGCACCTCGACACCCACACCTGCCCCTACAGACACCCATGAGGACCGGCACCCCCCGGCCTCCCGCCCCGCTCTGCCCCTCGGGCCCGCTCCCCTCACACCAGCGCCGGGGAGCGGGGGAGTGTCACTGAGGGAGGAAAGTCTCACCTCGCCGGTTCGTGGGGCGGACGCGCACCGCCACCTTCACTTTGGAGTCCCCCATCGCGCTGCTCCAACCTCCTCCCCGGCTCCTTCGTCCCTCCTCGGCTTCCGTTTACGGAGGGACAACCGGCGGGGCGGGGAGGAGGGCGGAGCGGGGCGGGAGGGGGTGTCAAACCGGGGGGAGGGGGGGGGCGGAGGAAGGGAGGCACCGTGTGTGACCGACGTCCGGCTGGACTACAGATCCCAGCGTGCAGCGCCGCCCACCCCGCCGCTCCGGGGAGGCGGGCAGCGAGGCGCGATGCCCGCTGGGAGTTGTAGTCCTTTCCGCGCCCGTCTCCTGGCGGGACAGCATTGCATGCTGGGATATGTGGTCCGCTAGCATAGACGAGTTTCGTGAGGGGGCGAGCCCCAAATGGCGTTTGTGGGTTGTGTCGCGCTGACAGAGAAGGGGGGTCTCAGGCTCACCCCAGGTCCTGCCACACATCACCAGAGTGGCTGTGGGCCAGCCCTGTCCCACCTCAGTCTGTGCTGCCTGTGCCTCGGGCCCTTTTTGAGGGAATACTGCCATACTTCGCAGCATCGCCGCTGCGACCCAAAACCTCACCTCGCCGCAAGATGTTCTCTGGGAGTCACAAAGCAAGGCGGCATTGCTCTGCTGGTCCGTGGGGTTTCTGTCCGTTAGAAATCACGTCACGCCGAGGATCACGAACCGTAACCCAACGTAAAGACCGTGGGGTTAGATGATGGCTGGGTCTGGCTTCGCAGAGCAACCTCTGATACGCCGCCGTCAACACACTTTGCAGTTTGCTTAATGAAGGCGGTTCATTAATAGAGCTCAACAGTAATAATCGGAGACAGTTGGAACAATATTACAAT